AAAACATGCTCTGGTCAGACCTGGGCTGTACATCCAGCCAAGAATGGGAATTAAGGGTGTGGAAAACAAAGTAAAGTCACAGACAGGTTTGACCAAAAATAATATAAAATATAAAACCAATTATATATTATATTATAAATTATATTATAAATTATATAACATATATAAAATATAAATATACAATATATATAATATATTATACAAAAATAATTTATATATAATAGATAATGTAATTGATAATAGAAAAATATAATAATGGTGGTAATAATAATAATAATAATAATAATGGCCCTGAATTAACGAGAATCTATCTGATGATATATATAATATATAATATAATCGATAATAGAAATTAACTATTAAATGGCAATAATAATAATGGTGGTAATAATAATAATAATAATAATAATAATAATGGCCCTGAATTAATGAGAATCTATCTGATTATATATATAACAGATGTTTATAATATATAATATACTCGATAATAGAAATAAACTATAAAAATTGTAATAATAATGGTAATAATAATAATAATAATTATGGCCCTACATTACTGAGAATCTATCTGATGATATATATAATATATATATTTATATATAATATATAATATATAATATATAATATATAATATATAATATAATCGATAATAGAAATTAACTATAAAAATGGTAATAATAATAATAAATAATAATAATAATGACCCTGCATTAATGAGAATCTATCTGATTATATATATAATATATATTTATATATAATATAATTGATAATAGAAATTAACTATAAAAATGGTAATAATAATAATGGTAATAATAATAATAATAATGGTCCCACATTAATGAGAATCTGTCTGATTATTTAGCCTACAAACTTCCAAGAGGAGAGGGAAAAGCCTCTCTGTGAAATAAATGCACTTGTTGTCTCCAGCTCCCCCTCAGGGCAGCCCAAACAAGGTGAGGAACCCTCAGTGCAGCCCCTGAGCTCGAGGCCATCAGGTTTTGCTGCCCAGCAAAGGTCTGTCCAGCCCTGCACATCCATCACCCTCCAAGAAATCAGCCTTGGAACAAGTCCCAGGAGCTGCACTGGGGGTGGAAAACAGCAAAGCTGAGGGAAGTTCCTCTGTTTTAGTGAGAGAATGATGGATCTCAGCCCTGCCCCGAGCTCAGGAGGTTTAACCTTGTCCTGCCTGTCTCCTGTGCCCTTATCACATCATTCATCCCTCTCCCAACACTCATCCCACACCCAAACACTTCCCCCTGGGCCTGTCCCAGGAGCAGGGATCAGGCACTGCCCCTTCCCAACAGCAGAGGGAATGGAAAGGCTCAGGGAACGGGAAGAGATGTGACACAACCCCCAAACTATGAGCTGGGACGGGAAAAGATCTGCCAGAGCACAAACATCCACGAGCCAAGTGATTTATGGGGGTGGAAAATCTCAGCCTCTGCCACTTATCCGCAGCTTTTTCTGGGAAGGGGAGGCATGGAGGGTGTCCAAGGAAAAGAAACTCTGCCTGAGGGCTCTCAAGTTGCTTTTAAAAGTGTGAACTTCATTCCTGGCAGGTTTGGGGAAGCAAAATGTCAATTTTGCAGAGCCCCCCCTGGGCTGGAGCCCCCTCAAAATGAAGTCGAGTGTTGTCTTAAAGGTGCTGGTTTTCCAGGTTAAATCCCTGGGAACCCCCAGGGAATTCAAACTGAAAGGCTGAGGGAATTGGAATTGCTCAGCCTGGAGAAGAGAAGCTTCAGAGGGACCAAATTGGGACCTTCCAGGAGCTAAAAGAAGGATGGGAGAGACTATTTCCAAGGGTCTGGAGGGACAGGATGGGGGGGAGTGGCTTCAAATGCACAGAGAGTAGGTTTAGATGGGATAGTGGGGAGAAATTCCTCCCTGGGAGGTTGGGGTGGACCTGGCACAGGTTCCCCCATCCCTGGGAGTGTCCAAGGCCACCCTCAAGGTGGAAAACCTTTTCCCAACATCCCTCTTCCTGCCCAGCTCCAGCTGTTCCCTCGGGTAACAGGGTCCCCAAAGTCAGACCTTGCTCCTGTTAATGCACTGCCTGGATCCCACCAGTCTTCAAACAGCCAGATCCATTTGGGAATCACGGGGTGGAATTCAACCCATAAACCCCGTGCAGCACCTCCAACCAGGCCCAGTTTGAGCAGAGCCTGCTGGAGCACAAACTGGAATATATTCCATCAGGAATCTCAGTGGGATTGTGCTGGTTGAGCTCTGTCAGAGCAATAACTGAGCTGGTGGAGAGCCCTGACCACGGAATTGCTGCTCAGAGAAAATTCCAAGCCCCTCATCACCCCCCTGAGCTCATTCCAGACAGCAAACATCACCACACGAGCTCTGGGCTGTGGGCTGAGGAACCAGCAGCTCCCAGGGGGGTGATGTTTGCCCTGATGAATGTGAGGTATGACAGGGCAGCACTCCCAGGCACGTTGGAAAGGGCAAAGACTTTCAACTTGACTTCACAGGAGGCTTTTGACCCGCCTGGTTTGGGGTTTGTGACCCCGTGAGTCACCCTGGGCTCATCCTCCAACTATGTCACAGCAGAGATAAAGCCCAGATTAAGAGGAGGAAAGCTCAGATAGGGGGAGAGAGTTGAAATATTTGACAGCCAGCTGTGAGTGAGAAGAGCTTCCCCAGTGGCATCCTAAAAATTTAAGCACATCACCTTTAGCCTTAATCCTGCTGCAAGGAAAACAGCAGAGGAAGAGCCCTTGAGCTGCCACTGATCTCACAGGGAGAGAGAGAAAAATCAGCTTGGTTGTGCAGAGTGGGAGCAGCAGCGTGGTGGGAATTTGTCCCCAAAATTCAGGCAGAGAGAGAGAGAATTCCAGAATGGTTTGGGTCGGAGGGGACCTTAAAGATCATCTTATTCCACCCCCCTGCCATGGGCAGGGACACCTTCCACTGGACCAGGTTGCTCCAACCTGGCCCTGAACAGTTCCAGGGATCCAGGGGCAGCCACAGCTTCCCTGGGAATTCCATTCCAGCCCCTCCACACCCTGACAGGGAACAATTTCTTCCAAATATCCCACCTAAACCTGCCCTCTGGGAGTTTGAAGCAGGAAGGGGAGAAGCTGGGGGTGACAGCAGCCACTGGCCAGAGAACACACCACTTTTACCCCCTGTTTAGTGCAGGGACTGAAAAATGCAGTTATTTCTCTATTTTACACCCATTTCCCCTGCTCAGTTATTTCTCTATTTTACACCCATTTCCCCTGCTCAGTTATTTCTCTATTTTACACCCCTTTCCCCTGCTGATGAATCAAAGCTTCTGCTCCACAAGCTGCTGCAATGCCATGATTCATTTTCCTTCTCATCCTGGAGGTTGGAGCACCCACCCAGCAGCCAAGCCAACCCCCCAGTGACCCTGTGCTGTGCTCTGCTCCTCATCCCAGCTCCAGTCTGAGCTCATGGAAAGGCAGAGCCCTCCAAAGCTCCTGGGATTAACATCTGAAGCAGCTCAGGGTGAAGTGACCTCCAGCCTAGACTGAGGCAGCTTTTCCTCCAGGCTTTTTGGAGGATTCACTGTGGCTTTGGGGAAAGGACACGTGTGCCAAAGCCATGGCTGGTGTTCCATAATCTCACCTCATTCCCTGGGAAACAACAGTGCCATTGATGGAGGCAGCCTGGGATCCCTCCCCAGCAAGGGAGAGAATTTAATCTCTCCTATCCTCTACCTGCACCTCTGCCTTCCATGGAATGCTGATCCAGACAGGCTGGATCCCTCCCTGCAGATCACAACAAACCCAGGATTCACCCGTGGGAACCACACATCCTGGGTTCCCTGTCTCTGCCTGAGGTTCTTGGATGAATTTTGGCCAAGGGCAGTTCACACAGTGAGGCACCAGAGCCCCCCACACGAGGGGGGTGTTTGTGGGGTCACCACCAGCCCTTTCCAGCCTGAAAAGCTGAAGGAATAAATGCCACCTTATTTTAACTCACAGAGCTCAGCCCAGCATTCCCCCAGCTCCTCATCCTGCAGGAATCACTTTGGGATTTGATTCCAGCCTTTGGGTTCTGTCATTTCCCCCCTCAGCCTCCCAGTCTGACCCAGTGACAGCCCAAAACCTTCCCCCAGTGACCAGCCCACGCCTTCCTTCCGTGTCTCCCAGCACTAATCCCCCATTCCCACAAATATTTCCATACTGTTATCATGGTTTCTTCATCACTGCTGAGTCAAACTGAGCAGAAACATCTATTTTTCCCTGCAAATCCACCCATTCCAAGCCATGGCTGTCAGCCCTGTTCACCTCCAAACCCAACCAGAGAGCTCCAAACTGGTCCCAGTACCAAGGGGAGACACCAAGGGGAAAGAAAAGTCAGTATTTAATACTATAAACCTACGTGTACAGAACACACTTTACCTCTCTAAATCCTTCTAAATACAACAACCCAGTTTTCAGTTTTGAAAAACCGATTGTGGAACTGCAGGGATTTACCACGACTTATTTATTGTCATTTATCCTTATTCTTATGTTATAAAAAACCCCTTTAAAATTCTTATTATATGATTAAAATATTCTGACCAGCTGAAATTGGGATCTGAATTTTGCACCTTTGCTTTTTTAAACCTTTGCTTTTTAAACCCTTGCTTTTTAAACCCTTGCTTTTTAAACCTTTGCTTTTTAAACCCTTGTTTTTAAACCTTTGCTTTTCAAACCTTTGCTTTTCAAACCTTCGCTTTTTAAACCTTTGCTTTTTAAACCCTTGCTTTTTAAACCTTTGCTTTTCAAACCTTTGCTTTTTAAACCTTTGCTTTTCAAACCTTTGCTTTTTAAACCTTTGCTTTTTAAACCTTTGCTTTTCAAACCTTTGCTTTTTAAACCTTTGCTTTTTAAACCTTTGCTTTAACCACCCAGCTCAGCTGGGATAAATAGGTGATAAATAGGTGATAAATAGGCGATAAATAGGTGATAAACTAAGCCACAACCATCCCTGTTCCCCAGGAGGCTCTGGCTCATCAGCTCAAGGTTTTTAAGTGTGTTTACCTCTATTTGATTAATCAATGAGTTGTCAAACTTGAAGCCGGGGATTCTCTTTTCACTGCAGACCACTCCCACGTCCTCGGTGTGTTTGCAGTCACTCACTCCCCAGCCATTGGAGGTACAGGCTGCCAGGGTGCTCTCCTTGCCGGTACAGTGGACATTGTCCAGCCAAATTTTCCCTGAAGGGCAAAAAAAATAGAGCTGAGACTCACAAAGAGGGTAAAGCCGGGTTGTGCTGGAAGCAAGGGGAGCTGCCGGGTTTTGAGTGGGATTTCTGCTCGAATAAACCTGGGGAAAGCAGCAGAGGAATGGTGGGAAGCCACAGCTTTCCCCTTCTCTTATCCATGTGGGAATATCCACCACCCTCCCATCCTGCTCCCTGGGATCTCTGCCCTGCTCTGGGGACAGCTCTGAGCACACAATGTCACCAGGTCCCCTGATTTGGCTGATGAGCCCCTGCCCTCTAATCACACTCCCCCTCTCATCCCTCCTCTCTCCTCATCAAATCCTCCTTAAACCTCCTGCAAGAGCAGCTCAGGCTTTGCTTAAATGCCTCGGCTTCTAAAAAGCAGATTTCTGCACGTCTCCAGCAAGCCCCTGGTGATTGGATCCTGCTGCTGTTGGGGTGCTCTTGGAAAATAAAATGCCAGCTCCAATTTCCAGCCTGTAATTATCATTTTCCCTCCAGCTAAAAGCACGTGTGCAATGCATATTTATACATATATATAAATAAAATATGCCTTTTTAAAAATCAGGTGCCTCAGAACTCCTTTCTAAGATGAACAGACAAAACCCAGCAGGTGTCACCTCCAAAATTCAGGTCGTGTTTCCCCAAGAGCCAAAAACCCGACGGCACCTCCGAGATTCATCTTCTCCAAGTGCCTGTTTTCCCCCTGGAAACATGCTGGGCACAGGGAATTTACTCCCTGAATCACAGGCCAGCAAGTAATTCCCATATTTTAGGGTGGCAGATGCTCTGCTTGTCTGGACTGGGTGATCTGAGAGGTATTTTTCCAACCTCAGAGATTCCAGAGTAATGTGTCCTTGGGACAAAAGTGCTGCCTGATCCTGGGAGCCATTGGGATATTCTGCAGCCATTTATGTCACTTGGTTGTCCCAGCTTTATCCCAGCTGGATCACCAGCTGATGGATCTCCCAGAAAAGGGGAGCAGCTCCCAGAAAAACCCAGACCTGCGTTTGGATGTGTCAGGATTTACCCTGGGATTCAGGGAACGCTCATTCCCACTAAATCACGTGGCCAAGCTGGTTTGTTTTCCAGTGTCACGGCCTCTTCCTCCCTTGGAAATCTCCTGCTCTCCTCCCAGAGCCAAAATCCACAGGTTGGGAGCACATTCAAGGCTCCACATGTCAGTCAGTCCCTGCTGGGGCCTGTTTGCTCTTTTATGGGAAAAAGGGGAGGTGTGAGCCCTGTAAAGTGCTAAATGAGAGCCAAAGAGCACGTTCAGCCCCTGCTGCAGTGGAAAGATTCATCTGTGGGATACACCAGAGTGCCAGGCTCCAGTGTGGGCAGGAAAAGTCCTCTGCAGGTCATCACTGAGCTGCCAACACACCAAACCCCAATAAACCTGGTGGGTTCTCTCCTGTTCTAAAGATGTGTTATTATTCCTGGGTTATTTCAGAGTTATTCCCTGTCAAACTCACTTAAAGAAATCATTTTTGTGAGTGTAAGAACTTGCTGCTGTGACACACAAATATTCACCTTTCAAGGTCTTTGTTCAGCACATATTTGGGAAGGAGGTGCAATTTCTCACATATCCATCGTGTGTGACATCAAAGAGCAAGAAAGGACATGGACAAGGAGGGACAGGACGCAGGGATTGGCTTCCCACTGCCAGAGGGCAGGGTTAGATGGGATATTGGGAAGGAATTCCTCCCTGGGAGGGTGGGGAAAGGCTGGGATGGAATTCCCAGAGAAGCTGTGGCTGCCCCAAGATCCCTGGAAGAGACCAAGGCCAGGTTGGAGCAACCTGGTTTAGTGGAAGGTGTCCCTGCCCATGGAAAAACCAGATGATCTTTAAGGTCCCTTCCAACTCAAACCATTCCATGATTCCATAATGCACAGTTTGGGGTGGGGGTGAAGAGCTTTCCCCCAGCAGGAACAGCCTGAGAGCATCCAAAATGATTATTCCCAATATGATCCCATACAGGACATGAACTGTGCAGGCTCCTTTAGAGTTACAGACCAGTCTGTGCTGCAGAACATGGTGCAGGATTTTCTGGAGAGGCTTACAGGGAAAAGAAAAGTTTGGATAACATCCCACAGGCAGTGTGTTCAGAGCCTGAAGTGCTCAGAGGGAAAGAGGAACAGGAGGAAGGAGTGCTGAGAGGCCCTGTTTGACTCACTGCAGGGCAGTGGAATTGTGAAGAGGGAAAAGAACCATCTGTGCATCACCAGCCCTGGGTGCAGCTGCAGAGGAACCTCCCACACTCCTCCAAACCTGGTGCTCCCACCCTGGCCCTGAGGGCATCATCCAAACACTCCTGAGCTCTGGCAGCCTTGGGGCTGTGCCCACTGCCCTGGGGAGCCTGGGCAGTGCCCAACCACCCTCTGGGGGGAGAACCTTATCCTAAGATCCAACCTGACCCTGCCCTGGCACAGCTCCAGCCATTCCCTGGGTGCTGTCCCTGCTCACGGGGAGCAGAGATCGGAGCTGCCCACCCCGATGAGTCCCCCCTCAGTCTCCTCTTCTCCAGCTGAACAGACCAATTGCCTTCAGTATGGCCCCTCCAGACCCTTCCCCACCTTTGGATGCTCCCTAAGAGCTTTTTACCACTCTTTTATGCCCCAAAATGCCCCCACGAAGACTCGAGACTGCGAAGAAACCCCACGACACCTCCAACCAGACCGACCCTCCGAGGACCAGTGGGAGCTCGGGGACACCCCCCCAGTGACTCTGGAGCCACCTTACAGAATTCACAGAATCAGCTGGGTTGGAAGGGACCTCCCAGATCATCAAGTCCAACCCTGGATCCAACCCCGCCGTGGTTCCCAGCCCATGGCACTGATGCCACATCCAGGCTCAGCTTAAAAACCTCCAGGGATGGAGAATCCACCCCTTCCCTGGGCAGCCCATTCCAATGGCTGACCACCCTCTCTGCAAAGAAATCCTTTCTAATATCTAACCTAAACCTCCCCTGGCACAGCTGAAGACCTCACCTTCTCCTTTGCCATACTTGGAGCTGGGCAGCCAGGACACGGCCTCCACGTAGCCCAGCTCCCTGCAGACCACGTGGGCGGCGTGGATGGAGAAGTCGTCGTCGCAGACGGTGCCCCACTCGCCGCCGTAGAACACCTCCACCCTGCCCTCGTTGTGCTTCCTCTTCTGCCCCGCCAGCCTCAGCTGGATTTTGGGCACGTCAGCCGGTCTCTGGGGGGGCTGGTACTCCTGGGGAGGGGGGTCAGGGTAGCCAGGGAGGTAGGGCCAGTGCTCGTACTGGGCGAGGCTCAGCTCGGCGAGGAGCAGCACGAGCAGACAGTGGTTATGGGGGAAAGCCCTGGGTCTTCCCATCCTCGGTGCTCCCAGTCCTCAGAGCCCGGCCCAGGCAGTGCAGGGAGATGCTGTGGGGCTGTTCTGGAAGGAAATAAGAGCTGAGTGAGGCTTGGTAATGATGCAAGCTTTACATCTCTAAGGATGACACTGCATCTGACTCCGTAAAGTAAATTATTTCTTGTGGGGTGGACAAACAAACTGGAATAAAAAAACCCCAAACCCACCCCATTAAAATAATTTGTAAGTTTAGGTCAGCTTGCCAAACGGTTTCAGCTGAAAAATTCATTTTCACAGGGTAAAATTCTGGGGGTTGGAAGTGCCAGCAATGGATTTTCCTGTTCCTCTGCAAATCCAGGAGTTCGGCGGCTCCGGCAAGTTGCAGAAAACCTCATTTCAAATCCTACCAGGACAGAACTGAACCATTTTTCTCCCATAACTCCTTCGACAAAGAAGCCAAACCCACCACTCTAACAGTGGAAAACCAGAAGTGGAAGGAATATATTATAATATGGGAGGCAGGCAGGGATTTATAATGAAGCCTGTTTTCCCAGGGTGATAAAAGACTTATTTCTGTTCCTGCATGTCCTGTTTCATCTGTAGAAAATCAACATGTTACTGGACACAGACACTTGGCAGAAGCCTTGGATAAGCATGTCCCATGGGATGGTGGATAATGTCTCCAGTTTTTGGTGGCTAAGTCTGGATAGGGAGTTGCTGTCTTCCAAGTGCTCCATCCTTAAATAAGTTCAGTCATTTAAGGTGTGAACAAGGGGCTTCTCATGGGAGGAATTCCAGCCAGAAATTCCATCCAGGCCCTGTGCAGGGTTTAGATCCTGGTCTTTTCCTGCCTCCTTCCCACTCCTGTCCTCCCCAGCCTCCGTCCAGGCACATGGAGCGGTCAAGGAGCACACGTGGGGGGTGAGGATTCCATAGTTTCCAAATGAAGCAATGCCAGAGCACAGTGGGAAAAGCCTCCCCAGACCTTTCAAAGCTCCATTATTTCCTGGCAACCACCGAGGGGGGAGGACTTGGCTCCAGAACCAGATGTCTAGAAACTCAAACCCACTGCTAGGTCTGAGCTATCCCTAAAAAAAAAAAACAAACCACCAGGAAGTCACATCCTCACACAAAATACATTAACCAGCCCTTGGTGAGGAGGTGGATCAGAAATCCCAGGCAAGCAGCCCAAAATTCCAGAGTCATTAGTCCAAACCTCAGCTCCAACAGTGACCCCAGGCAGGTCACATCCAGGACTGTGCCTCAGTTTCCCCCATGTGTTAAACGGGGCTGGAATTCTTTGGGAATGAAAGGCATCTGCCCAAGGAATAGGTGAATTAACTAGAAGCACGTGGGTTAAAAATCCAGCAGGAAAAGCAAGAGGAGACTTTACAACAGGTCCTATAAATCAGGATGAGGGGGGAGAGGGGGAGAAGATGCAGCAAAATGTTCTTGGAAAATAAACCTTTGGTGCAAAGGAGCCAATTTTTTTTTGTAGGTCAGGAGGTGAGGCTGAGAGAGGGGAATAAAATCAAGTCCTGTCCCCACATCAGAGGGAGCTGGAGGGGGAGAGAGGAAGGAAATACGGCTGATATTCCCTCCAGGAGCAAACAGAGGGGGTTTCCCAAAGGAAATGCAGTTGGCAGGGCAGGATCCCTGTGTCCTGGGGAACAACAGGCACTTCAGCACCAGGCAGACACCCCTGACCTCAATCCCTACCAGCACTGGCTTCCAAACAAACCTCTCCCGACGTTTTTCATGGATACAAGATGGTTTTCTAGCCCAGGGGATAAACACAGGCGGGCAGAGAGATTGTCATGGATGTACAAAAAATTCCAGTGATCCCCTCAGATCAGGACACAGGTTTCTTGTGGGGAGAAATCCCAAAGGAGAGGTGTTCAGCTGCCAGCCCAGCACAACCACAAGCCTCGTGCTCCTCAGGAAAAGCTGGTTTTCGGTTTTCATCCTTAAAACATCTGTTTGGATCTGCTTCATCTGCTGTGGCTGTTGTTTCTTGCTACTGCACAGCCAGCATCTGTAACAACACTGATCAAAAACTGAGCTGGGCTGCCACAGTCTCTCCCCAAAAAAACTGAGGTGAGGAGTAGCAGGGCCCTGGTTTAGCTGAAAACTCACAGTTGGGTTCCTAAATAAGTCATAATAAAGCTTTCCCAGGCTTGTCCCACATGGCATAAGAGCACAGAGCTCTGTTTATATATATTTGTATTTACATTTCTGGGACTTTCTGAAGCAGCTGGATGGTCCTGCAGCCCCGTGAAGGATATTTGGGAAGGAAAAGGGCAGCTAACGTGGTGAGTGACCTCCCAGTCAGGCCCTCCAGAGATAAGGTGACAGGCTGACCTCATCAACAGAACATGCCAAATTCCCCTCTGGGTCACAGTTTTGTTTTGTTTATGAGCCTCCAGAAAGCTCAAAGCAAACCAAAGCAGAATATTTTAGAGGGGAAAAGGAGGACCAAGCAGCACATAAAGCAGCAGGTCTCTCCCAGCTGGGGTGCCAAGGCAAACAGTGCCCGGTGTCAGCCCTGGGTGAGGGGGTCCCTTGGGATCAGGGGGGCCAAGGAGCAGCTCCAAAGGCTGTGACCTGCACTTTGCAGAGCTCCTCCTGCTCAAAGCAAAGCTCTCCAGAGCCCTTTCACTCCAGGACTGGAGCCAAGAGACACAACAATTTGGGGAAACCTTTCAAGGAGGGATGTGATGGTTCCCAGCTGAGAGCTGTGCTCCCTCAAGTGTTAATTAACAGAGCACTGCCAGGGGCCAGAGCCTTCCCAAAAACCCCAGCACGGGCAGATCCCGGGCTCCAGGAGCAGCTGGAAGGGAGGGGAAGGTCACAGCAGACTTCCAGGTTGTTTTAATTGATCCCCAGATTAGTCAGGGAGACGCTAATTGAGGTTGTAGCAGATATTGTGGGGGTAATTCTCCCTCTCTTGGTAAAGCCTGGCTGAGTCAGGCTCCAAAAAGGAAAGTGCAGGAGGGTTTGCTTTTGTTCCCTAAAAGCTTAGGGACTTGGGAATGGTGGAATATCCTGAGCTGGAAAGGACCCACAAGGGTGGGACTAAGAAAGCCCCCCATTCAGCACAGGGGAGGGAGGATAAGATTCCCTGCTCCAGAGAGGGAAGGGTAAGCAGCAAAAAGGAATTTTAAGAAGCCTGTGTGAATGAGCACATTCCCAAACCTTCACCAGGGGCACACAGACCTGGAGCCCGGGTCCCACAGCATCCTGTCCCATCCTGGTGGGAACCAGGAGGGGCTCCTGCAGGGGGAGGCACTGCAGACCCACTCACAAATCCTTTTCCACCTGCAAAAGTGCATCCTGGAGGCAGGAATGCTTCAGGAGACAACACAGCCGTGTGTGTGGAGCAACCACCGACAGCTTTTCCTGCAGGTCATGTCTCCATCTGCTTCCAAACTGTCCCTGCCCAGCAGACAAAGCCTCCACAGTGTCTGCCCAGAAATAAAACCTTCCATTCCCACAGCTCCTGGTTGTGGAGGTGCTCAAGAGAGACCATTCACACTGAGGTACGTTGTCAGGAAAAGCTGAATCCGGAGGAATTTGGGCACAGGAATGTTCTGGTGTTTCCACGAGGAGCAGCAGCCCGGGTACAAAGGGGAAACTTCAGCAGCACCCAGGGGAGCCTCCCGGGGCTACAGCCCTGAAATGGGGTCTCAGGATGGGGCAGGAGGGACAACTGGGAGTTCTGGCATGGGAGAGGCTTGGGCATCTCCTGGCTGTGGGCTTCCCACCCCTGGAAGGGTCCCAGGCCAGGCTGGATGGGGCTTGGAGCAATCTGGGACAGTGGGAGGTGTCCCTGCCCTTGGCAGCTTTAAGGTCCCTTCCCACCCAAACCATTCCATGGCTCTGTGATCCAAACCATCCAGGCCAGTTCTCCCTGAGATCCCAGACCCAGCAGGAACACAGGACTGCTCCAGAGCACTGATAAAGCAAATTTTACACCACTTCTTTCACTCCACAGCACAACAGCCAAGCAAATCCGGGATTTGTTCTCCCCTGGTTCCTCCTAAAATCTCCCTCCTCAGCTCCAAGATGTTTTACAGCACCAGTATCAAACAAAACCATCATTGCTCTTGAGCTGCAACGCTGGTGATTCAAGCACAGACTCACTTGGAGCATTTCAAGAGCAGTAGCAGTGTCAGACAGGAGCCAAGGGCACACACACACTTCTGGAGGCATCAGAGGAGCCACAAGAACAAAACTTAACACGGAAAATATTTCAGCAAACCCACTGCCCTGCTGCTGGGACCAAGATTTGCAAACATTTCCCCCCTTCCCCAAGTCTCAAAGCTGCCCCTGCTGAACTCCCCAAGGACAAATCCAGGCTTTAAATTAAAGGAGGTTTGGTTTGGGCTGGATTTCCCCTTTATTGTAGGGCTCAGTCCTCCCCTCACACCCTCTAATAACCTCCAGATTTATTAATGACGTCAGATTCTATATTGTGGTCTCTCCATTCAAAAGAATCCAAGACACAACATTAAAAACTCTATGGAATAAAGGCAGTGGAGAAGCCAGGAAATACTCCAGGTCTCCTGGCTCTCCATCCTGGATTTCAGGCTATCAGATGACACTCCAGCATCACACTAACATGTCATTTAAGGCTTTGGGGCATGTTCCTGATGGATGCTGACTCAGCCCTTTGTGGGACTCCAGGTTTGGGTCTGGAAGGGAACAGAGCAAGGCTGAGCAGGGAACAACAACAGGTTCAGTTCAGAACAGGATCAGCACAATCCTGGAAGGGTTTGGGTTGGAAAGGACCTCAAAGCCCACCCAGTGCCACCCCTGCCATGGGCAGGGACACCTTCCACTAGCCCAGGATGCTCCAATCTGGCCTTGGACACTTCCAGGGATGGGACAGCCACAGCTTCTCTGGAAATTCCATCCCAGTCCCTCCTGGGCAGGATTTCCTTCCCAATATCCCCTCCAACCCTGCCCTCTGGCAGTGGGAAGCCATTTCCCCTCGTCCTGCCACTCTCTGCCCGTATAAAAAGTCCCTCTCCCTCCTTTTAAAAGCCCCCAAAAGCTCGTAATCCTGAGCTTTTCCTTCTCCAGGGACTCCACCAGGTGAAACTAAAGAGTCCATTCATCACCTCCTGAATGAAAACCTGGATCCTACAGAGAAAAAAAACCCGTTTTAGCTTCCCCAGAGCCCCCAAACAATAGAACAGCTCAGACAGAACCAGCAACATCCTCACCCAGACAACAAAGGGCTGGGCTGGAGCGGTGGCTGGGAGTCCTTTGTGCCTGGAGATCCAGGAATGCCTCGGAGGATGGGACAATTATCCCTCTGGCCCGGGGCCAGGAGCACCAGACAGTTGGTGTTCAGCCACTTGAAACTGGGAATCCCACACCCTGCATTCCCAGCTCCACACTCCAGTGCCCAAAGCTCGTTCCCCGGGCAGGCAGCGGGCACAGCCTGGCATGGGAACGGGATTTCCCACTTCCATGGGAGCAGTTCTCCAGCAGCACAAGGGCAATTCCTGCTGGGAAGCTCTCCAGGATCACTGGAATGAATAAAGACCCCACCACTCTCTTGGATAAGAGCTTGGATACCTTCTCCCATCGTTCCAAGAGGCTCAGCCCTGCCTGGGGTGCCACTTCCAAGGATTAAATCCCCCTGGATTAAAATCCCCTTCTTGTTCTCACCCTCAAAAAAACAAAGCCCTAAAGGGCCAGATACACCAACAATAAATCTGTGGGAGAAGGGAGGTGAGGAGAGATGTGGATCCTGACAACTTCCAGGCTCCAGCTGCTGCTCCAAGGACCTGGAGCTGTTCCCTCCAGGAACCAGAACTCACCCAGTTCATCAGGAACTGGAGTTGCAGGACAAGGGGGAGTGGGTTCAAACTGAAAAAGGGGAAATTTAGGTGGGATATATGAAAGAAATTCCTCCCTGGGAGGGTGGGGAGGGGCTGGGAAGGAATTCCCAGAGAAGCTGTGGCTGCCCCTGGATCCCTGGAAGTGTCCAAGGCCAGGTTGGAGGAACCTGGGATAGTGGGAGGTGTCCCTGCAGGGGGTGGAATAAGATGACCTTTAAGGTCCCTTCCAACCCAAACCAGTCTGGGATTCTCCAATTCCCAAATACACTTCCAGGACAATTAAACAGAAAAAGTGATTTTTTTTTTTAAATCTGAGCAGTATAAATTCTTTAATTAAAGTGTAATTATGATGACCAAGCAATCTGTACTTAGTACAACCACCAGTGGCAACTATAAATATACAAACACACACACATATATATATAATTCAATTCTCTTTCCATCAAACACACAATTAATTCATGACATACAGAATTAGTTCATTAAGAAAGACCCCACAAAAAGGTACCACAGCTGACACACACTCACAGAACCAGTAAAACATCTCCATGATCCAAGTTTGAGGAGCATCAGCAACTCCCAAATATCCTCCAAGAAGGAGAGTATCCTTAGGGAGATAAATATACCCTTAGAGAGATAAATATACCCTTAGAGAGATAAATATACCCTTAGAGAGATGAATATAACCTTATAGAAATAAATGCATCCTTCTGGGGATAAATATATCCTTATAGAGACGGTAAAGAGTTTTCCTGCTACACTCCCAGATTTTTAAACCAGGATCTTTCCCTGGAATGGTCTGAACTCCCTCGGGTTTGGATCCCAACATCCCAAGTTTTGCAGGTGGATCCGAACATCCCCCGAGGAGGAGGAGGAGATCATTCCTCACCCCCTGGGGGTTGCTGTCTTAATTAATGCCCCCTAATCCCCCGGTGGGACAGATCGACTCCGAACCAGCGCCGTTGTTATTCCTGCGGGACATCCCTTGGAATAACAAATTCCCACTGGCATCACCGCGGATTAGGGAGTGGGACTTTTCCTCCTCGGGGGGGGGGGGGGGGGGAATGGGTTGTTTTTTGCAGCCGGGTCGCAGCAAACGCGGGCTCTGCAGCCACACGTGGCCCCCCCGGAGCATCTCAGAGAGGGCAAATCATCCCAAACCACCCCGATCCCGGGAGCTCTGGTTTTAAACCGCATCAGGAATGGGGTGGAACCGTTCAGGAGGAGAAAGAATGAAAGGTTAAAATGAGAATAAAAGCAAGAAACAGAAAGAGGAACAGGAGGGGAGTCGCTGGTGCTGTGAAGAAAATGAACTTGGGGGTCAAACTGTGGATAAAAAAACCCAGAGCTCATTGCTAGGGAGGCGTTTTGGGGTTTCTTACCTTGGAAAAGGACAGAACTTCCAGTGAAATGCGTGGATTATCCATTAAATCCCCCTGCTGAAGGCAAAGGCACCGTCCTCTGCTGCATCACCAAAGCTCTTCAGCCTTGGGGGCTTTTCCAAGCTGCTAAAACTCCCTGGAAGTTCTTTTCCCTGAAAGTTCTCATCCCTGCACTCCCAAAGCTCCCCCTGGGTTTGACTGGGGAGCAATTTTGAGCCTCATCACCACCCGGTTGGAGTACTAAACACCACATAATTAATATAACCACCACATAATTAATATTAAACCCCTTTTTGGGGGTGCTTCCCAACCCCACCCTTGGAACACCCGGAATTCCCTCCTGCAGCAACACCCGGCACCCCACGGGCAGGGGGGGCTGTCTCAGGTCAGGCTTATATTCCGTTTAATGTCCTTTAACTGCTCTCTGCCTTCCAACCAAAGAAATTCCACCTCTGTGGGTGGTTCAATCCAGAGTAAAACTGGGGAGGGAAAAGCCTAAAAGCGATTTTTTTTTCCAGCCTGTGTCCAGGACACGTGCGAGAGCCCCGCAGTGGCATCTCCAAGAGCTGATTCCAGAGAGGATAAACAGTTTTCCTGCTGCACTCCCACGTTTCTGAGCTAAGAGCTTTCTCTCTAGTGCTCTAAACTATCTTGAGATCTCTTTTTTTATCTGCACAGGGTAACGTCCGCTGAATTAAACGACAAAAATCCCTCCGAGAGAAAGCAAGAGTTGTTCGGGAAGGAGCAGGACCCAGCCTGGGCTGGGTGGAACATCCCGCATTTCTGTGGTGCAGCTTTCCAGGTGGATACCCCGGCACATCCCGGAGTTCTCCTGGAAACTACCGCGATCGCCTCACTAGAAAACAGCTTTAAAAAAAAAACCCAAAAAAGCCACTGGGAGCCTGAGAGCTGCTTCGCGAGGGGCTGCGAATCCCAAACCATGACAGAGGAGAAGTCCCTTAATTAAGGACACATTTCGCACCTTCTGCCAATGGGAAACATCTGCGCTGGAGCTTTTTTTTTTTCCCCCCTCGGCAAGAGCAGAGTTGTTGAGAGAGGAGAATTCAAACTGCCTGCCCGGCTTAGCCGGGTAACATTTACACAATGGTGATGGCATGTGCTGGAGCTCTCTGCTCGAAATTCAGCATATTTGGGGGAAATACTGCAGAAAAACGCACTGCCCGGACTTGCAGGCAGTTTGCACGTTCGGATAAAATAAAATAAAATAAAAAAGACGTGTTGCAAAGAGGGGAGAAAAGCCACAACATGTTTAAAAAGCGACGCTGAGTTTCTGTGCCATCCCACCCCTGCCAAATCCACTCTCAGGGGACGGGAATTACAAGAAATATCTGGCTTTTTTTCCCCTCAGAAAGAAAAAAAAAAGAAGGGAAATCAAACTTTCAGCCCCGGAGCGAGAGAGTTAGAAGCGTTTAAATTAATCAATCGGTCCCTTCATCTGTAGAAATAACAGCGAGTTGCGGCTCCAAGGGTTGGATTTACCTGGGAATTAGTGGTCGGCTGTGCTGGGGGGAACCTCTGCCCCGTCCTGCTTCATGGAGTTCTCCCGGCCGGGCTCAGGGGTCCCCTCGGCGCTGGAAAATATCCCGCAGCCAGGGAAAAATGCTGCGAGGAGCCGCCGCTTCCTGGCCAATTTGAGCGGAGTTAGTGGAGCAAACCCCTCCCAAGAGCCGGCCCCTCTCCGGCTGCTCCAGCGCTGGAACCGTCCTGAAATCCGAGCGTGGGGAGCGGGAGAGAGCGGGGCTGGGGGGGCACATCCAGGAGGAGCTGCCCGGGAAGAGAGTTAGGAATATTCGTGTTAATGTTTGCCCACGTTCTTCCCAGAGGACAAATGTTGAGGATTAGGAATATCAGTGTTTTCCCAGGTTCTTCCCAGAGATTAAATAGTTAGGATTATATCGAGGATTAGGAATATTCATGTTCTCCCAGGTTCTTCCCAGAGAACAAATGTGGAGGATTAGGAATAATCGTGTTTTCCCTGGTTCTTCCCAGAGGACAAATGCTGAGGATTAGAAATATTAATGTTTTCCCAGGTTCTTCCCAGAGAACAAATATTGAGGATTAGGAATATTTGTGTTTTCCCAGGTTATTCCCAGAGGACAAATATTGAGGATTAGAAATATTAATGTTTTCCCAGGTTATTCCTGGAGAAAAATATTGAGGATTAGGAATATTAATGTTTTCCCAGCATCTTCCCAGAGAACAAATATTGAGGATTAGGAATGTTAATGTTTTCCCAGGTTCTTCCCAGAGGACAAATATTGAGGGTTAGGAATATTCATGTTTTCCCAGGTTCTTCCCAGAGGACAAATGTTGAGGATTAGAAATATTAATGTTTTCCCAGTATCTTCCCAGAGAACAAATATTTAGGATTATATTGAGGATTAGGAATATTAATGTTTTCCCAGGTTCTTCCCAGAGAATAAATATTGAGGATTAGGAATATGAATGCTTTCCAGGGTTCTTCCCAGAGAAATTCCATTTGCTGTGAGTGTGAGAATAACGGGAGAACAGCAGGTTTGGAATCTCTGTTCCAGAGAAGATCTTGAAATTTTGTCTTCTGACCCAATTTCGCACAATGTTCCCAAAAGGTAACTTTGGAAGGAATATCCCCATTTCTTCCAGTGTATTCCTATTTTTATGGCATTTTCTAGCCTAGCCCAAGGCTGCTGTCTATAAATACCCTTTGGGGTTAGTCCTGCACACTGATCTCACCTTAATTCTGTTAATTATGTTTAAAACCTCCAGGGCTAAATGCACATTTCCAGCAGTGCAACCCCAAACCCTGCAAGAACAGGACCCTCAGACTTTCCAGCCTTTCCATCACTTCCCAAACACGATTTACCCACGCCAGGGAATTCCTGCTTCCTGTTCAGAGCCCAAACCCATCTTCCCAACCCCGGGAAAAGCAGATTTTGCTCTGAGTTCCAGCTGCTCCAGCCCTGCTGGGCAGCAATTCCTCACCTTTTCTTGGGAAGGGACATTGCACTGGACTGGGCACCAGCATTAAAGGGAAGAGATTGGATATATGGAAGGAATTCTTCCCTGTGGAGGTGGGGAGGTCTCTGGGATGGAATTCCCAGAGAAGCTGTGGCTGCCCCTGGATCCCTGGAAGTGTTCAAGGCCAGGTTGGAGCAATCTGGGCTAGTGGAAGGTGTGGAAGGGGCTGGAATGACATTTTAAGGACTCTTCCCACCCAAACCACTTTGGGCTTCCAGGGGGTGGAACTGCACGGGATTTAAAGTCCCTTCCAGCACCAGGAATGCTTGGAAAAGAGGGAGAAACCCTGCACTTGGAATCAGCATCCTGAGCAGCAGCAGAGGGTGGATCCAGCTGGACTCACCTGGCTCAGGGACATCAGGGGAGAAAAACTTCCCAGAAAAGCTTCCCAGAGCCATCCCAGACTGGCAGGAAGCTGGAAGGAGCTTGGCCAGGGGAAGGAATGTGTGAGTGTCTGCTGGGCAGGGCATGGAGCAACGGGAGAGCCCGGCCCAGGAATGCTGAGCCCAGGAATGCTGAGCCCAGGAATGCTGAGCCCAGGGCCCAGGTCGGGTGAGGATAATGCCAGGGAGGCTTCCAGCTGATGGAAGAGCTCCCTGCTTGCAGCAAGTGAAACATTCAGGAGGAATCCAGCGAAGCTCCTCGAGGGAAAACGCTGGATGCAGGGAATTTGCTGCCCCCTTCATCCTGCAGCTGGTTAAGACCGAGAGAAAAGCGCTTAAGGAAAAACAAAAGATGTATTTAAAAACTTCTCAAAATCGCAGAGAAAAAGCCACAGAGGGGA